TCGGCAGCGATGCATATCGTATAGAGACATCAGACCAATATCATCTAAAGAGATCTGGGTCAAATTACTCCAGTTACTCCATTAATGGCTTCCAAAGACAACAAAAAAGCAGTTTTTCAGTTTCTTTTGGATTTTTTTTCTGAATTAAGTTTCTGTGAGCAATTATTTTGCATCGATCACCGATGCTACATCCTGATGACCTGAACTTCGTTGAGAAGTGAGCCCTTCTGACACAGTAACGTCACCTAATTAATATGAATAAGTTCTCAGTTTTCCGAAGTTAAGAGTCCATTCCTCCTCCATTTCTGGTTTTCCACTTCAAAGCTGGCAAATCAATCCCATCGTTGACTTAAGAATTGTTCCATTTACGGCCACTCCTCAAATGTTGTCCGTTCCTTCTTTGAGACCCCGAGCAACACCCTAATTTGAGCCAGCATTAATGAGTAGAGATATGAGTGAAATCAGTTCAATATCAATTTCCGCAGTGATGGTCAAGCGATGTTTAGCATATTCATTTGTTGCTGGCTGTTATTACTTCCTATTGACAATTATAACTCAGTGCTTATCAGTCCCTATCACTTCCTCGTCATCATATTCTATATTTCTTCATCAACTAGTAGTACGAAAGCTGTATGTCCATAACGAAGCCTTTGACGGATTAACTGTTACTTTCTTTCTAACGTCCCTTATCTTGCTTCACCAGCTGCTATCAGTTCCTATCAGTCGCTACCCAAGTACTGTTTTGCCCCACATGATACAGAGGCGGATCAGAATACCCGTCAGGGCAGAGTTACGCCGGAACCCCATACTGATTCCCGTGACAAAAGAACCCAAAGTGCCCAAGCTCTTGGTGGGACGGCGCTCTCCTTGAGCGACAGGAACGCCCTAGCAAGGCTATCCTGTGGGACGAAAAATGCTACGACCACTTCTTACATTTGCCTTAGTCCCCTGCAGGCTGTCACTGCTCAGTCGTGTAGCGCTGGTTCACACACAGCCAAAGGCTCATAATCTCAGGTCAAGCTACACAAAAAAGAGAAGGACAAGAGCGAGTCATCTGATAACTTGCACGTACAACTGCAACATATTAAGTATCATGTAATCGGACTCAGCGAGACGAAGAGAAAGGAATCGCTGACATGCAAATGGATGGATGGGACGTCAGTATACCTAGGAGCCCGCAAGCACAATTCAACATCAGGAGGCGTTGGTTTCATTGTGTCACCAGACTTCAGCGAGCATGTACGAAGTGTTACGTTTTACGGTTATCGTTTCGCGTTGCTAAATGCCAGTATCTCCAAGGATGTGCAGATCGCCATTATACAAGTATACGCGCCTACAGCAGATTGCGAGGAAGAAGAACACAACGACTTCTATGATCAACTCGAAGAGCCAGAAAGGCTATGTTATAGTGATGGGCGATTTCAACGCCCGAATCGGATCGCGGAAGGACGAATTGTTTATCGGTCCTCATTCCGCTGAACAGCGCAACGATGCAGGAGAAAGGTTAGCAAATTTCTGCGAATCGCACCATCTCTTTCATGGCAACAGTGAATCCACTTTGGCCATGTCATGTTGTTCCTGCATCTGTATGGCCTCAGCCCTAACGAACCCATCTACACCTGCCGAGGTTTATACGAGAACTTTCCCAGTCGAGTGGCTATCTACCGTTGGTTCAACAAGTTCTAGAGGGGAGACTTGTTCAATGACATCGGAATTGGACGTGCTACGGAACCGCCCAGAGGAGGGTATAAAAAAATCACTCGTCAACTTCCAAGCAACTTCCTTGGGGTTTCACACAAAGGCGTTCTTCAAGGATTAAATTCGACTGGCGAGGTCCAAAATTCCGGCAGGTGGGTACTCCCGCATTGACGCAACATGGCGTGACATGGATGACTGGGCAGACACGGCGCTCACTATTCTCACTCTCTAGCGCATGCATGCGTGGCTCGACAACCTTGTCACTGGGGAAGAGAAGTGGATACATTACTACAGCGTGCACCGCCCTGCCCAGTGAGTTGACGGAGCAGGAGAGTTAGAAGACGGTCAAAACCCAACCTTCCGCGGGATTGAGATGATGCTGCGCATATGGTGGAGAGTTCGTGGGTGGGATATCAGTAGCTATTAAAAGAGGGAACAACGATGAAGGCCAAGGTCTACATTACTCAGCTAAGAAGGCTGAAGACCCTTCTCGAAACACTCGTAGTAGCAGACTCATGTTCATTCCAGTACGACAATTCCAGACCACACGCTGCCAGGCGGAGCGCGATGGTCCATTCGTACGTCGTCAGCTCACTAGCTCTCCAAATCTCGCACCCTCCGATAACCACCTGTTCTCAAACCTTCAGCGCCAACTGGACGGCAAAGATTTCAAAAGACGTAGTGACTTCGGAAAGGAACTGGAGTCATTTTCTGAGGCTCAGCCAGCCGCGATCAGGAGGAGAGGCATCTATGATTAAACTATACCACAGGAGAAGACCATTGATAGTAACGGGGCATGTCCAAATAATTTACTGTTTTTGTTTTTCTGTTGTGATAGAATAAACATTTCTGCCTCAAATTAACCATCATATCATTTGTATGACCACGTGAAGTGAAAGTTTTAGAGAGGAATTTCTAGCCTGAAGATCTCGTGCGTTGATTCAGACAAGCACGATCAACAAAGGATCTGATTTGGGCGTATTTTTGTAACAGTCCAGAACTTCGTGCTTAATTGCTCCAGACATGTGTCGATTCAATATGCAGTTAAACTTTAGCCCCATTTTTGCTATTTTTTAGGAATTGCGTGTTTTAATTACTTATCGATTGTACACTCCTATGAAGATTTTCGTCATAAAATGGGAACGAAAGAAAATGTCCTTATTCCTTCATCGAGGGACGAGACACTAGAGAATGAGAAGGACCAGGCGATACTGGAGAAGAACGCGTGAGTATACCAGCTATCTGTTGGGATGAGTAACTAATGCCTAAACGGTTCCAGACATAAATCTATTTTGGAAGAAGCTAAAACGGGTAGATTCGCTTTTGTCATTTTGGTGCTTCTCTGTCCTGCCCTTGAAGACAAACTGCACACTCACTTCTGTGGATTCTGGTCCACATTTCCTTCTTCCCTTTACTGAAGGGCATGAGGGTTTTACGGCAACTTGTTTAGTTTTCATCTGGAGGAGCACGCGAAACGGAAACTAAGCTACTTCTTCAAAAAAGTCTCCTCAAAAGTTTATTTAGTAAAGGTTCAAAACTGATGATTTTTATAACATAAGCTAATGGAACGGATCTATGACCACTTCCTATCGCGACTTCTCGAACTGAGTAGTAAAGGAAAGACCACTTGAAAACCTTACCTCGTAACAACTTCTCATATTTCCTTGTTTTAGTGAAAATACGCGGAATCGTCGTGACCTTCAAGGAATCAGAGGAATAGCTATTATTGCCGTAGTGTTGTTCCATTATTTCCCAGCTCATTTTCCAAATGGATATGTCGGCGTTGATCAGTGAGTTCCATCACTCCAATAATCCAAACTGAAGAACGCAGATGACTGAAAAGTATCCGTAATTGCCTTGATCTTTCTTGACAGTGAGCCTATGTTGAAGACTGGAACAAAAGATTTGGGACCTAACCATACAATTTCATGACGTCACACCTTCGGTGACAACTAGGTCCTCAGTCTGCTGTTCTGCCATTTCTAGAATTAAAGACATTTGCGCGTCCTAATTTTGTTCATTACTGTAGTCCGTTGCTGACCGAGCTGTTCGAGCGAGTGTGCAAATCCTTTAGCGCCTGTAATACGCTGAGGTCATCCTATTTGTCCCCTGTGGTGCACGAGAAACTTTATGTCGTCTATTTGAGAGTTCAAAACGAGATCTGCCGCTCGAGGCGACGCTAGTGTAGTTCAAAATCTCATGAACTTTGAAGAGGGTAATCGCTTGTGCTATCATTGTCAAACTGGATCAGCTTTCCAAAATCAAGTTGGGGGTACCATAAATTGCGGCAACGAAGCTTCAAAGAACACGGAACAGAGGCAACGTTCCATGCCAAAAAACTGATAAACTGTGTAGCGGGAAAAGAAAAGAGCAAACTAAAAACCTTGTGGAAATTTGCCCTCGAATGAAGGACTCCAATTGCCGAACCCCGGATTGTATGTGTATTTGCAGTGCAGGGAACGCATGATTTCTGCAAATTTCCACTAATCATTAGTTATGGCGATGTTTAGCTCATTTCACGTTCTTATTCACCTCACTCTCCACCACTTTTGGAATGAAGACAGCATGAAATGGCTACTAGCTAGTTACGGGCAAAGCGGTTGAAGGTCTCGGCATAGGGCCCAAGGGGTCCCCGGGCCTAATGGGTCAGCTCTCAGCGGGAGTTTTGGCTAATTGTCTTTTATTCGCAGCAGGGACAGCCTCTAGTAATTCCGCCTTTCGAGTCATCTTCCAGCCATTTTGAAAAGTCATTATAGTGCCTTATTTTTGGAGGGGACAAGTGATTTTGCTCACTTTTCATGCCTTATAGGACCCTCAGCCATAAACGGGCTGCGTTTACCCTCGAATATCGAATAGTTAAGGGAGCCCAGCTGCTTCATTGCTAGGGTCTCACCGCATTGCTAGCACGCGGAACGAAAAAGTAGAGTCGTGCTGTTTTCGAACTACGCCAATCACGGCTGACGCGCTAGCGACCTCCCGTGTTCGTGTACCTAAAAGGCGTCCAGCAAAGGAAATGAAGGGCAAGGCAGAGTCGAAGGGAATGGGCCAGTGCTTTTCGTTTCTCTGTCATTACTTCTTAACGTTGTTGATGCACCTCATGTCATTTGCTTTCTCGAGCTCGAATCCAGATTTCACGTTGATTACGTTGGTTTCGATTTCCAGAAACTCAGAGATGTTCGTTGCATTGAAGACAAACCATACAATCACATGGATCCTGGTCCCTGCCATGTGAGAGGCAGGAGTAGTGCAACCGGGGCGCGGTCTCCAAATTCCGCTCGCGCTGCTGCACTATCAGCCGCACGCCTAACCATAGCCAAATGTGCTACTTGTCTGCGCCCCTTCACTTTTAGAATCTAAGTTCGCCAGCGGTACAATGTTTTGTGCCAACAATCTGAACTTATGAAACAACTTTGGAATATTGAACTACATTACAAACAGTAGATGACAAAAAGGGTGCCAGAAGAACTTGACCTAATAGTTCAGTACAAATCCTCGTTGAACATGCCAAACAAGTCCTTTCAGATTCTTCGTTCTATCTGGTTTTCTGATGTCCATGGTAACGGAGCGAAGGAAGCGATTCACAGCGAGAGAAATAAGTCTCTTTTACTATCGTCGCTCGAAGCGTATTTTGCCGTTGTATTTACTTGTGCTGATCGGTTGTGTCGTCATTACTGAAGCATGCCTCTTCGGCAGTCTACATCCAACTAATTGGAAGTCGTTTTACTACGCCTCTGTTTTTATGACGAATATCAAAGCAACTGACAGTATCAGAGAATATAACGAGATGGTTGGTGGTTTTTTACTTTGTGCAAAAAATTAAGTAGTTAAGTATGAAGCGACTTGACCGGCGTAGATTTCATTGAGACGTTTACGCTCAAAATGAGAAACCAAGCACTGGAAGACACATTCCGCACTGCAGACTGTAAGCGATGGGATCGAATCATAAATTCGTAGGTACTAATTAATTTCCAGAAAGAAATGGTGTAGAAGGTCTTGTAAAAAAGCCCCATACAAGGCCCGGTCATAGTTCTTGTATTTCTTCTAGCCTTTCCAAGATTGAGCAACTTTATTGAAGGCCTACGTTTCGGCGTCTTCGCCTTCGTCAGAGCCTGAAATGGTCAAAAAACATTTCGAGACCTGCTCAAACATTTCAACAATACTCAAGACGATTTCCACATACCAGTAAATCACCCAACGGTATCGATCTAGGGCGGAACGCTGGCTTACCTTGATCTTGGACGCGTGACGCAGGGACGACCACCCTGTAGAGGCTCAAGCGTGGAGTAAGAATTACTGGTAACCTCCCTCGACCTCTCGGTAGGTCAAAACTTGCAGAGGTCGAGAAAGGCTGCGAGCTCACGCGTTATGACCACACACTCCTCCTTGCGATTCATTTGTGGGTCCTTGGCCGTGATCCAAAAAGCCTCCAGTGTCTTGCGCGCCGTGATCTCGACTTCCTGCGCTAAGATGGTCACCGCTACGTCGAATGACGTGCCTCCATGGTGTTGACTACGGTGAACCCCTAGCGGTGTGTGGGCTTGTGACCTCCTAAGACCCTCCAGATGTTCCTTGACCCGTACTCGAAGGGGAAGGCCCGGTCAGTTTTCACTGGAGAAGTATGGTGTGAATAGAGACGCAGAGACGCTCAACGAGACACCGGACAATGGTGGGCTAGAGCTACAGAGCCGTGCAGAAAGGGAAAAAGATTGGTCGCAAGCACGCAGGCAGTTGTACTTCATGGACGACCATACTTTTGAGCGGTGAAAAAGACACAATAAACCTCCGTCTTCTTGCGTCCCGCAAGCACGAGAGATTCTCTTCTAAAGTAGTTGCGGAATATGTCTTTGATTTCCCCTTCGCGTTTGAGTAACTTTTACACAACTTATTTTGATATTTAGCTTTCGAAAGCAAGAGATTTCTTCACCCATACATGGTCCATAGCAGTGGAGATGCAATTCTACATAATATTCCCAGCGCTCTTCGTGATATATAAATCAATCTACCTTCCGATATCGAAACCGTTCCTGGTGACCGTTGGTGAGTTTCGATGAGGGGGGGGGAGGGGCACGATTCAGCGATCCAAGTTGCATCGGGATCATTTCTTAACTTGCCGACTCAGGATTTTCGACAGCTTAGCCTCAATTCAATGAGATCCTGGTGCGAATGCCGCGCATCCCGCACCACTTACTAAGCCATTTTGGTAGCGTCGCCGACCATCCTAACCTGCACTCAAACTCTGCAGGAGCTCCAGAGGCACGTTTTGTACGCGACAAAAAAATTATTCTGATATCTACTGCTAACAGAAGATAA